GTCGTGGAGAAACTATATGCCATGGCCCTAAGTAAACCACATTTGATTTTGACTTTCGTTCGTTTGCAGTTGGCTAACTTGTAAATGGCTTCGACGCTCCTTGTGACGTACTCGCATGTCGAAAATATAGTGCGCCACGACACATTATTAATAAATTTCCCCACATACGTTATTATATTTCAATATTCCCCGGCCTCGCGTATGTGCATATACCTGAGCGAAACTCTTAGACTTATATTATTATATCTTAGATATTAACTTATATAAAAACTTAGACTGTATATCGTCACGGGAGCCGTAAACAAAGTCTTTACGAAGAGGCGTGGCTGAACAATTCCATGGCGGAGGGATACAGATTAAAAGATAAAAGAACTTTACGGACACTTGGCGAATTGCACTTTGACTTTAAAACTGTGATTTGTTTGAAAGAAAGAAAAAAAACGCATTTAAACATTCATATTAAATGCAACCCTCAGCACTCAGTTATATCGTCAAATAGCTCTTAAATTAAGCGATCTGGGGCCTTAAAAACTAAAATTTGGAGGCAAAAATGGCTTTCCGAACCCTTGATTATGGTGGTGCCATCTTGTTACTTCACGCTTAAAAGGCTTAGATTCCTCTATCTTATAGTATTTATGTTTTTTGTGTACAACATGGTTTGCGCCGACTAACGAGGTTTATTTGCATAATTATTAATTCAAGATTCGCTATCGAAGAAACAACTAGAAGTACTATTAATAGTAGCTTGATACCGATGGAGATTGTTTTTTATGGGTGTAGTGAAAACATTCATTTAACGTTTTGCTGAGATCTACACGTACTGTGTACCTAATTGTGGAGGGATGTGGGTGGACAGTTAAGGTGTGTCTCGTTAGGTTTGGTGGGTGTTTTACCTGTACCAGAATGTTCATCAGCAGCAGTAAGTCGGCGTAACTTTCTCAAGTCAGCGTGTTCAGTCACGTAGCTTTCTCTAGAGTAAAAAGCTTTTTTAATATTTTTGTGACTATTACGCAAAACGAAAAGCTAACTCAAAGAATATTGAAAAATTACTTCAAATATTTGTAAGGGAATGTTGTGAATTGTTACAACAAATCTCTCTATAATACTGAATAAATCTTTAGTGAACATTTCTTTTCCTCATCAATTGTATTGTTTTTTAAAATTTTTATTTGATATTGTATTAGTACAATAGAAGTTACCTTTATACATTTTTAAACAAATAAATACGTTGCGTAATAACTTTCCCTCTTAGAACGGAAACAAAAGAATAGGGAAGAGTGTGAGGTATAACATGACTTTCAAGGGAAGTGACAAGCTAACTGTTAAGCTACTTCAAATGTTTTTCAGGAAGTGTGAATTGTTCGAAGAACGTATCTCTATAATACTGAATAAACCTTTATTGAAAATTTGTTTCGAATGTCAATTGCATTGTTTTTCTTTTTGTTTGATATTGTGTAAGTACGAAGTTACATTTATGTATTTTTTAACAAATAAACACGTTTCATTAACAAATTTCCTTCTTCATGAAAGGTTAGGGAAATGTTGGGAACTAACATGCGAGAGTTCTCGCACGGGTACTCTAGTTCAACAAATATTTATTATAAAACTGGAAAAGACAATAATGATAATGAAGTTGGCCTATTATGTGTTTAAATTATGTTTAACATTTTATTTGAAGTGTCTTCTTTTTCCAAAATGGAAGTATGATAACCCTACACATACCATTAAAAAACATTGTGAAAACACAAAACACATTTTTGGCTATTCTGGTATTAACGTTAAAGCATTTAACGTTAATATACTGAGATTATGCAAAAAAATACCAAATTTTGATCTGCCAACACATTGCGTTATCAACAATGTTAAAATTTTACGACGCATAAGACATGAAAAATCATCGCCGCTAATCTCACTCACGCAAACTAGCTCATTCTTTCATTTATGCAAATACGGAATTATTTGACAAACGTTTAAAAATAAACTTACCGATGTTACTAACAACGGGTGCTTTACAAGACTTCGGGACCGTGCGATGCCTCAACGCACTCACTGGCGATCCAAGGATGCAAGTGCAAGCTTGTCAACTCATGCCACACAGATGGTAGTAACTTTCCGTGCAAACTGTGCGCAAGGTAGCCAATGAGAATTGCTGCTTACAACTTCTCCTTTGGAGTCCAGGGCGCGCTGTTACGCGCATTGGAATGAACTGCAGTTTCCACACCAATCTCTATAGAGGTTTCCGAGGAAATATGAACATTGCAACATAGCCCCATTCTAGACAAAAAAGTTTCAGCCAATGGCTACAGATAATTTCTGGTTCTTAACCCTTATTGTTAAAAAACCTATTCGAGAATATCGCGAGCTGAATGGCGAATTTGGTTTCGTTTAAAATGTGAGTGAATAAAGAGGGGAGGGGTGGATGGTAAATTCATTTTACTCCGCCCCCAGTTTGTCTATGAAAACGCAATATATTGAACCCTAACTCCTGTGGAGTATCATGAATAGTGCGACCAACGGGTATATTACTGATGCTATTTACTATGGAAATCTGAGAATTAGTAATGATTCGTTTTCTCGCACTTTATTATCATCTTCTATAAACACTCTACCGAAAAATATCAAAATATTATATTTTATCCTGCAAAATCGCAAACAAATTTTTGAGAAAAATTTATTTAAAGGAAGACCCGGGACCTTTGTATCACCCATTCCAATGCTCTCGGCAAAAGCGCCGCGATGGGTGCGCAACAAAACAAGCAGTGGAAGTAAATAACTTGTTTTGATATTATTCGCGTGCGATTAGACGCGATTAAAATGATTTAAAAATTATATTAGTTACGCATGCCAAATGAAACCTAAACGTTACCGACTGAGAATTGGTTGGCAGTACTGCTCGCTGCGGTTAACAATAGAGGGAATTTTTGAGGGAGCGAAGGTTGCATAGGCGAATGTCAACAAGTGAACGCAATCGTGTAGGACGAGATACTATACTTGTTTTATTTTCATCGTAATCAAGGGGTCGTTCACAAATTAGGGAATAATAATGGGAGGGGGGTTCAATGTTACACTACGTTATAGTGTTATGGCCTTGGGATATTAAGTCTGCTTTGGTGTTACGTAACGCTGCTATTTATTACTTTTTCGATATTTTCAGAAATAATCTCTTTTATTCAGTCTTAAACTAAGAAAGCAAAGCATTGTAATTAAGATAATTAATTGAAAAAGTTAATGAACAAATTATAATAAATGGAAATATTTTCATTCATGATTGAATCAGATTATGAAGAAAATGTGTAAAACTGGTATTTTTTATTTGAAGAACCAATTAAATTAGTATTGGGATATTAGTATTGTGTTGTATTGTACTGCATCAGAAGCACCAGGTTCTTTATTTAATTTTTTTATTTTTTCACCATAGTTTTACATTTTTGAAGGAAAAACTATAATATTTTGATTGTTTAGCATTTTCTTAATATTTTTTAGAGACTGTTAGCAAAAGGCAAGAAAGTGGATCATTGTGACCGCTGGAGTAAAGTGCATTTTTCCCCCATACCCAACGGCCATGCACAATTTGTGGTAATTCTCAGTGTTCAAGATACTGCATTTCATGCAGTAAAACTGGAGAGTCCACTACAATGAATTTCTTATCTCCTTTATTGAGTGATAATCAAAACTAAATTCAGTTGAAGTTATCAGCTAGTGAAAAAGGAAAGCCAATACTAGATTTAAGTATAGGAAAGGAAATTTTTTCTCATTCATAAAGAATATGTATAAGAGAAAAATAAAGAATTATAAATTTTAATACGTAACAAATATAATTAATATATTTTTTTACCGTTATAAACTTTATTTTTACTTTTTAAAAGTGGAAGATGCAAGTGTTATGTAATAAGATGAGGGTGGCCACTCATTTTTTTGAAATTGCCCATACTTTCAAAGCAATTAAAAAATGTTTCTCTGATAAGATTTGTGGCTTATTTCACACTATTTAAAGAAAATATTCCCCGACTTCTAATGGTTCTTCCACAAATTCCCTGATTTTTCTAGAAAGTGGTCACCATGTAGTAAGCAGGTCGCTACCTAAACTCATTTATTTTGCATTCTCTACTTGGGAGAAGCTTTCATTGTCAATCACTTATATGAACTGGAACAATGAAAAGCGACAAGTTAATTTTGTGTGGCTTTTTAATTTATTTATATACATTTATTAATTTATTTTTTTAAATATTTCAATGTTTTGTTGTCTCAGTACAATGACTGAATAAAAGGAATTAAAAATATGCCCAATGAATACTTGTCAATTTGAAATTATTTCACATGTTGATGAATGTTTGGACATTAGTCATGAAAATTTGCATACATATAGTGAAGTCCAAAAAAATATTTTCATTATGCAGTTTAGACTCAAGGCTGAAAACCTCTTCAATGCTTGGATCTGAACCCAATACAAGATTTTGCGCTTCTTCCTACAATATTTGGACAGCACACCACATATACATTAATATATACTCCAAAATAGGAACAGATCTCAAGAGAGTAATTAAAAGATTGGTGGTACAATGTGCTTAGAATATATTACATAAATACTGTCACTAGAACTAAAGAGGCAGAGGGATCTATCCCCCCCCCCAAAAGAGATCATAACACATTTTCAATGTCATATTTTCATGAAATGATACAGTTATTCAGACACATCATTATTTTCACAAATCAATAATGCATATGTAATCCAGAAATGACAAACAATGAATTTATTACTATCATTTCCACATAGAAACAATTATTCCCTTTTAGTTCCAATATTGTTACTTCTTGGATTTTTACTAACTTTGCTGAGTTACTATTGATTTTAGTTTTCTTTTATGTTTTCAACTTTAACTTATGACTATCTCACAATTGTAGGGTAATATTCTAATTTTATTTCTGAATCACATTGTCTATGATTTTTTTATAAGTGTAAGACTTCACAACTGCTTTGTACATGGTCTGCAGTGCGATTCAACCAAATAGTCACATTTAAGTAAAATGTGTGTGACTGTCCATGATTATCACGAATTAAGTGCTTTAGTAAGTAATATTGACACAAAAATATAAATTAAGAATTTTTTGTTGTAAATAGAATATTAAACTAAAGAAACACAACTACAGGACTTTTAAAAACACACGCCATATCTAAACCAACTCCTTGGCCACACCTTCGATTTGATTCCAGCATCAATGTACATAAAGGAAACATTCAAGTGTCAAAATCAGAATGAATTTGCTAACTCAGAAATTATTAGGAGAAAATAAAGACAATCAAATAGAATTTTAAAGAATTATTATTTTAGGCTGATAATTTGCAACATTAAGGAACAATATTTATATCAGAACTTTAAATAAGAGACAACAAACAACTCTTGTTGGTAGAGTAATGTGATTAAAATTTGGACCCACATTTTCACAGAAATAAACAAAGATAGCAAAAAACAATTTAAAATGAAAAATCACATTCATCTCATTAAAATAATGATTATCATCAAATATTTCATTAAAGCAATATCGTAAATAAAAGCAGTTATGGAGTAATACTTCATACTTACAAGGAGTACAATGCTCAACACACATTTATAAGCTCATTAACATAGAATTTGCCCCCAGGGACACTCATGTTGATGCAGAGGTGGTATAATCTGACACTCTAGGGAATCTCTGGAAAAATAAAACATATTTACTAGAACATAAGATTACCCCCAATTTTGAAAAGGCCTCCTGAGAATTTTTTCATTATTAACTGCTTCAAAGTCTTTTAGCCTGTACTTTCACTATTTCTTCTTCCTTACAATCATCTGCTTCATTGTGTTTGTCTCTACCACCTTAATCTTTGCTTGTACCATTGTTTGTTTCTTTTCAAGTCAGGGCAAGAATAGAGCTGTATCTTTCCATTACAATGGTCTCAATTTCTATAGCAGTATGATAAAAGAAAACCTCAGGCAGGCTGAGTATGCTAGATCCAGTGATGCAAATACATCATGCGTGCCACATGTTTCCCTTAGTCCTAGGTGTAGATAATAAATACAAACAGGGCCCAGGCCTGGAAACACCACTAGCCAGCTAAAGTTAGATTAATCAGATGCTAAAATGTCAAATACATACAACGTAAAATACATAAAATGTAAACAAGTTATCACACACTAATTTTTATTTCCAAACAAAGTTTCAAAATGTTACTGAGATTTAAGAAGGTTTCATAAAAGACAGCTCATTGATAAAGTCAACACAACAAGGAAGAAATTATTTAGACAAATTTAAGAATATATTAAAAGTACTAATAGTATTATGTGGAATATGAAAGGTTGTGAATGCTCTTTTAAATGTAAAGCAAATAACAATAGAAACTCCAACAAACAAACAAGAGGGCATATAGAAATACGTGGAAAAACAAAAGGTAATTTTCCTTTGGGTTTTTTCTTGTTTTAGTCTTCATCATCACTAAGAACTTTGCAATGTTTTTTAGCCTTTGGACATTCAGATTCTGAATCAGAATCCAATAAACGTTTTGATTTCATTTCAGTAGTTTCATTGTCTGCCAGTGCAGTTTGTTGAAGTGATTCATCCTCGCTCTCAGATGAATCAACAAGGATCCTCAATTTTCCCTTCTTAGCAGATTTTGTATTTGTGGTTGTATCTTCTTTGTTATTGTGTGCATTTTGGTTACAAGATTCATCTTCACTGTCTGATGAATCAACAAGGGCCTTCAACCTCCCCTTCTCAGCAGCTTTTACATTTCTGTTTTTACTTTCTGCAATTGTCATATTTTCTTTGCTATTGTGTACATTTTGGTTAAGTGATTCTTCTTCACTCTCAGATGAATCATCTTCACTGTTTGATGATTCAACAAGGGCCTTTAACTTCCCCTTCTTAGCAGCTTTTACATTTATGTTTTTACTTTCTGCAATTGTCCCATTTTCTTTGTTATTATGTACATTTTGGTTAAGCGATTCTTCTTCACTCTCAGATGAATCAACCAGGAACTTTAACTTCTCGTTCTTAGTAGCTTTTACACTTCTACTTGTACTTGCTACCATAGATTCATTTATTTCAGACACGCTAGGAGCATTTTCATTTACCAAATCATTCACTGATACTGAATGAAGATTTGGAGTTGATTTAGGTGTTTGGATTAATGACAAAACTGATGACAAAGATGAAGTTTCCAATGTATTGTTATCACTATTCTGACTTTCCATTTCAATTTCCAAGTCCCTTTCATTCTGAGAGAGTATCCTTCTGCATTTATCGGCAACTTGCTGATCAAAATCTGCAATAGGACAAAAATCTTATTTTACAGTTTAGTAAACATGAACAAATGATGCACTGATACACTTAATTTTTAAAAACATAATAATAAAAAAATTGCCACTTCTTAATAAAGTATGAATATACAGACAAGGATACTCAAGACTTCAAGAATAATCACATTCTCATTTTCAAAAATTTGAAAAAACAATTTTCAGGTTTATTGAAAAACAAAATTTACACTTATGCTCAGAAATACGTGATTTTTAAACAGGTATAAATATTCAGCGTGGCTAGTGATCTAGCTTTTTGGAATTCAAGTTTTTTTCCGGTTTTCAAGTTTTCAGTATATAAATTTTCCAGGTTCTGTTTTGCACATTACAGCTATTTTTATTTCTGTTAATTTCTTAACCGTACTATGTAACTCAAGCACTTTTCTCTGCAACTGAGTACTATGCAATATTGAGCATATTGAATATTGAGCAAAAATAAGCATTAAAGAAAACTAAGGAAACACTGGTTATTAATTAATATTTAGCCTTCACTTAAAATGTTTAAGAGAGTATAGATCTCAAGGCTGAGGCCAATGTAGGATCTGAGGTACTGTATTCCTTCCATCGGTTTTGGAAAAATGTCGGTCCTACTGTGAAAAACATTAGCTTTCAACATGCAAGTCCGATTAATTTATCTAAATGTGCAGACAAAAAGTAAACAGTCAGAAAATGGAATATGGACACCAGATAACTGTAGATAACTCAGATAACCGATGTCCATATTCCATTTTCAAGATTACTCAAAAAATTAAAAATTCCTTTACAATTACTTTCTAATACAATGAAAGAGACAATATCACCATGTGGATTTTTTGGACAGAAAATATAGGAAGACATGTATCTGTTGAATTTCAGATATCAAACCAATCAAGTATTTAAAATTTTAATAAAATATTTCTTATAATCTGCATCACTGCTATTGCCAACAACATGTATCAACCACAAAAATGGCGTTCTGAATATGTAGTGTGATTAATACCACAAAAATTCTAAGTGTACAAGATTGTTATATTAAGGGCATATATAAAAAGCTCCTGTAGTTGAAACAGATGCTGCACACTGCACAAACCTTTTAAAGCAACAAATTATTTTGTTTACTTTCTTGGCTACACTTTTAAGGTTGGCACAGTTCCTGTGGCTCTCTAGGGAATAGTTTGATATCAATATTCTATCAATTTCGCTTTTATACCAAATGTATACAGTACTAATACTAATCGTTGGATCAGGTCGGACCAAAGAGATAAATATGTTCATTGGTTCATTTTGTTTTAGTTTAATTCCCCTTTCAAACGCAATCATCTTTTTAAAAAACGGGTACTCAAATAAAAACTTAATTACACATGCATATTTGTCAGCAGCTCAACTGCGTACGGTTCCGACACACTCGGAGACTTTGAATTTACCCTTAAGAGCAGATTTCACCAACCTCGCTTCGAAGGAAGCAAACCTACAGACAGTTCATTAGGTGCTGTATATTCAAGTTTCATCAAGGTCGTTTCACTTGAAGATCTTGATATTTGATACTTGATGTTTGTCAAATTTTGACCGATCGGTACATCCTGCCATAAATGACTAATGGCACATAGTGTTTCGTTGTCTTTGTACTTTAACTCTTTTGTTGTTTAAGTGGTGCATGAGTGATAAACAGAACTTAGATTTGTAGTTTAACTTTTGTATACTGATTATTAAGAAACCATGGGTTCAGAACATGCCATTACTTCAAAATAATTGTTTTTAATGAATTGGATGATGCTCAATTTGAAACCAGTCACAGAATGTCAAAGGGAATGTTCCTGAAGATTTTAGAATAGGAACGCAACAGGAATACTACTGAAACAGAAATATACTTTTAATGCCCTTGTAGCAGTGTTGATTGTTGTCGTTTTTTTTTTTTTTTTGCTAAGGACATAACCCTATGGTCAGCAATTGCAGTGGAATTTTGGAATTTTGGCATCCACAGAGTATTCTTCTGTAAATAAAAATACCCCTTCTTTTATTAATGCCTCACTAAGGCCACTGTATGCGGTACTTGTGCAAGGTGCTAAAACCTCAGCAGTAGGGCATGACACTTCTTAAAATAGCGAATTTTCCTGTTAGACAGACGTTAGACTGCACACAAGTGCCAATTGAAGAGTTTCTTGGAAAAACAGTGTTAGTTCAAAATTGAGAAAATGGCGTTAATGATATCATCTTGTAGTGTGAACTTTTATGCATCAGAGAAATATTGAAAGTAATATCGACTCAGCCTCCAGTGCATGCAAAGAAAGTGAGTGAAGAGAAATAGGTGAGCTACGAAGATGGATGTTTTTTTCTTGTTTGCCACAAATTGGATTTTTAGACTAATACTGTCTTTTTGAGAAGCACTTTGATTGTCTCTGGCAGTAATGAATTAGAACAATTCAGAAACTGAAAAATGTATTTCTTTGTAAATGTGCAAACAATGCCAATCTCCTTGAAATATAGTAGGTTATACGTCATCTGTACTCTGCAGCCAATGCGGAAACGCATTGTGACATTGGAGTCAACCTCTGCAAGAGGAAGATAAATCAACATATGTTCTTTAATGAATCGTCAAAGCTAGCAGAGATCATTTATATCCTGCAAAGCACTGCTGAAATGTAACGAGGCAACAAATATTTAATGTTCATCAAAACCAATTTGAGAAAGAATGGTGAAATCATCTGTAACACTAGAACCCACCGCAGACTAGAAACATTGTGCCAATTTCTTTAAACCTTCTAAATCATGGGCTGAGAATAGAGTGTGCTCTTATTTACTGGTGCACAACCCCATCAAGATCACCGCAAGTTCATTTTCTTCACGCTTACTCTTAATTAATTTTCAGGTATATACAAGGATAGTTTTGACTGCACTCTTCCAAGAAATAATGTTAAAAAGGCTTTAGAGTATCATGGACGTTTCCATCAGAAAAACAGCCATCTGTCACCGCCAACATCATCAAAGAGGAGGCATGAAACTAACCGAAACTCAGCGATTGAGTTTCTGGTGAGATGTGTGTTTTGAAAATATCATGACCATACCCGTACTATCCAGTGTAGGTGCTCTGAGGTGCTACCTATTCTACCCATGTTGCACCTAGCAGTGCTTGACGTTGTGTGACTCATGAACCAAGGACTTTGCAATCCTGAAGAATACATATGGCATTTTTCATACATACTTTGATTTGAACAATAGCCATTACTACAATCATGTACTGAGTTGAATGATAAACTTTACTGAAGATGATGGTGTATTTGGATTTGTGCGAAAAATTGGCGATAAATAGGAAAATAATGAAAAGTCCTAGTTTTCAAATGAAATTCCTGTTTTTATCCCAATTCTTCCAGACTTTTTCAAATACCTGTTTTTTTTGCCAGTTATCAAGGATTTCAGGTTTGCTGGCCCCTGTGACGTTAAATTCTCGTTCATCATTCTATCTACACTATTTCCTAAGTAAGTTCATTTTCGTTATAATGATAATTCAAAAACAATATTGAAATTTTGGGTGTTTTGGCCATCACTTTTATGACAATGGTTAATTGACGAAAACACGCTATGTCGCCATGTAGTCAACAATAAATAACATTAATTTGAATCGTTAAATAATATTGTTACAATGGGGGCAATGTTTCAAGAAAGTTTCAGTCTCATCATCAGGCGACAGGTACCGAGTAAAACAAGAAAATAGCAAAATATAAATTCTGTGTAAGCAATACAAGTTCAGTGACTTAGCTTGAAAAACTTCTTTCTTATTGTATATTCTTATTAAAACACCCTTCTTTATGAAGTTAGATCACATTGATATATACATAATTCATGTATACATCTGCTAATTAACATATTAAAAATACTCAACATAAAAAAGCTTGTTGGTGCGTAATACTTGGCGGCCTCCAGCTATGCACTCAGGTGCGAGGTTGGAGAGAAAACGCCATAGAACATGACAGTGATCATGGAGCCTTGCCAAGGAAGGAGAATGGGAGGTGAGATTTGAAGGAAAATTGTAGAGGGAAATGTGTAAATGTTAGAAGGAGAAACAGACTAGGAAATAAATAGTAAGTTTATAAAATTATTAAACTGAAATAGGAATGCAAATATTTCTTTGAAGTCAAATGTTTTGAATTTTAAAGTGTAATCAAATTGTTTGAAACTGAATCATACATATGTTGGATTCTATTTGTGTGTTCAAATGTTTTCGGGTTTTAATATGAAGGGGCTCCAAAATAAGTCAGAGGTAGTATTTTTTTTTAGCTAACATGGTAACATCTTTGAAATTGATATCGCACCCTGCTGTTAACAAACCTCTTTTAAGGCCGGTCAATAAACTTGTACTGCGTACTCAGAATTTATATTTTGTTAATTTAATTTCGAAAGTATGATTTTATTATAGTGTTGTTTTATTGTATTTCACAGTATCTGATGTCTAATGACACAAATGAACCTTTCTCACTGTAACATCATTTAAGAATGCACGTAAATGTTAAGTTACTGTAGACTATTTGGTGACATAGTGTGTTTTCATAAGTTCAATATTGTAAACCCTTAAAATTGATGGCCAAAATATCCTTAATTCAAAATTTATATATAAACAACGGACAGTTATTTTGATGAAGTATCAGAGAAATCATTAAAACGCAGCCAATATTGCATATGTACACAGTAACATAATAGGAATATAAAATAACAGAATACCTTCTGAATTGAAAAATTCTTCAGTTGTTGAATCTAGCAAAATGTTTTTCCTATCTCTTAACTGTGCAGCTGTTAAATGTCCTGGCACTCTCCAATAGGTCTCCTTAATCACAAAAAACAAAAGAATAAGATAATAAAACAAATATAAAAAACTGGGAAGGGGGAAAAAGAAGGAGAAGAAGAGTATATACCGTATTTACCCAAATATAAGATGACTTCCTAAATTTTGGAGAGGTCTCCTGAGAATTTTAAAATTTTATACTAATTATTACTACTTAGTTCAAACTTTTTACCATCTTCATAACTTATGGTTATGTCAACATTTGCAAGATTCGTGACATGGAGAGACAATGTGAAAACATAAACCCCAACTAAATACGCTTAATCTGTGAATATAAGTTCATTTTTCAACTGAAATATTTACAAAAAACCTCATCTTATATTCAGGAAAATACAATATATGCTTGAAATATTAGTAGCACATTGACATAATGTACTAATTTTAGTTTCAAACAATTGTTGTAGATGTTAATATATTACAAGTTCTGTGTTTTGTTATACCATCTGTATTTTCAATTTCATAACAATATTTTGAGACTTCCACAATGGTCTTGAATGGAACTTAATGTTATTAAGAAGACATAGTCATTACAAAGACAAATATTGAAGTCTTAGACTTCTATGGCTAGAGTCCTGTATTTGCTCGTGATTGCCTACGCAACAATACATTCTGCATTTCAGTCTCATATGAGACAATGAAAGGATTAGTAAAATGTGGGCTTTATAGCCAATGGCTTCTGGTGGATTCAGCAAAGAAATCTAATTTATGAAATCAAAAGGTAAGGGTCGATATTCTCAGCCAAGTTAATAAATGTGCATTCTGCCAAACTAAACTCTAATAGGAGCACGCTGCCCCCACCCAATTCCAACTACCATCACTCTTCCTTAAGCTTCCATTGCTTCTCATGCACCAGCTAGAGATGTACTCTATATAGTCCACAATACAACCCATTCTAAAACCATTTTATCTTTTGCTTAAGCAGACACCTGAAACTGAATTTGTCCTCAAAAACTGCACTGGCAGTTTGCACAAATTAAATGAGTCGATTTATTGAAAGTTGAATACTTTCTGCAACTTTTCCCAGGGTTGTTTTTTCTGAAAAGGGCACTGCCCTGGAGCCCTTAAGGACTAGCCACCACTAGCTCTCAACATGACAGTGTCTGGACAGATAAGTGCAAACACAGATTAAAATATATGGTCTGTTATTTTTAGTTGAGGCACCTAAATCTGGATTTGTAGGTGGAGTAAAATTTAGGTTTGTACTAAATTTGTTGTTCAAATATTACTACAAGTTATTTTTTATGTTTGCCACGAATTGTATTGTTTTCTGCTTCTTGCTCAAAAGTTTTTTCAGGTCAGGTCTTCATCTTTCTAGTTTTTTCAACCAACAAGTTTGTGCCATATTTTTCTGAATAACATTACACCAAAATATTCCTCTATGACAGAGATATGATTTTGCCAGTCGTAACTCATTAATTACACATTAATACATGAAATACCTGTTCATCTGCTGGAGCATTTATGCCAAGTGACTGGAGTAACTGTTGAAACAGGGGACTGTCCATGGCCACAATACAAGCCTCTGTGAGAGGAAGTAAAGGAGTAGATTCTTCGGCACAATCCTCTGCATCCTCTGCTATGTCTTCCAGGCTTTCAACTAACCACTCCAAAGCTTCACTCATCCCTACAAAGCAGTCAAATTACAAAAACAATATTCTTAATATATCATTAATAATAATAATAATAATAATAATAATAATAATAATAATGTTATGTTATCCCCCCTAATTGATATTCAAGGCTAACAACCTTGTCTTAACAAAGGGATGCAACAAAAGACTGATCTCCATAATTCTACATGTTCATCTCTCCAGGATAAAATACAACTGGGGCTTGGAGACAGAAACGTGTTGCATGGTGAGTAGTGGCCCATATGCCAATAAAAATAATAATAATAATTATTATTACAAATATTTTTGAAACAGCTGCACATGAATGTGAGAGAGACATTCTGACTAGATGGCATATGAGAAGAAAACTGAATAAAACTCTACTTCACCCAGTGGAACAGTCAACTCTCAGAACTATTGAAATGTTAAAAGGAACGAACCACATTACTGACAATGATGAACTAGACACCCCATTGAATATAGAACTTAAGAGTAATAAGAAAAGCCAAAAAATTGGAAAAACTCAACCAGATGAAGTTAAAATAAAACTCCTATTATATGGAGGAAAGGATCTGAAAGAAACATTATTAGAATTTTTTAACACAATATGGCAAAGAGAAAACAATATCAATTGATTGGCAAGAGAATTTGGTTATTAATATTCAGAAGAAAGGCTCAAAGATCTGTGAATATTATAAGGGCATTACATTGCTATCAACATCATGTAAGCTATATGCAAACATGTTGAGGATTAAACTCAATGAAATACCGCATTTTCCCAAAAATAAAACTAGTTTTTTCCTGAAATCCCTTTCAAAAACTGTGGGGTTGTCTTATATTCGCAGATTAAGCTTAGTCGGTTAGGATTTAAGTTTTTACATTGCCATTCCATGTCATGAAACTCGTAAATGTTGACGTAACGTGAAACTGCTAAGATGGAAAAATATCAGGCGTAACAAAACATAAGTATATTAGTGTTTGTATTGTCACCATCCACTGTGAATTTGTCGGGCAATTCAGACCGATGTTTTTGAATGGGCCGGTAAGAATCTCTAACCGAATGGCATTCTATCAAATGAAACGTAATGTGAAAATGAATACCCCAAGAGTTTGTTACACGATGAGGGTTCATTGAGGCCGCGCAGAATCTTGGTTCGACACCCGGCGAATACGAATCTGTGTTTTGAACAGAAATCGAAGCAATCAACAAGTGCGGGAAATCTGACAACAGAAGGGAATGTTCTCAGATGGTGACTGATGAAAGACTATGAACAACACATAATCTAGTAAGCAAAACTTTCAAGAGGGGCCTAAAAAGTCAGATAAATGTCACAGCATGGAAGGATTACCAAAAAGAAAGAAAGAAACATTGCTAGAATTTCATGGGAGAAGAGCAATGTGAATCCTGAAAGGGTTAAAGCACATGACGCCTCTTTACATTACAATGTTAATAGACAAAAGAAGGGAAGGAATCTATTAACTTTTATAATATTTTTTGATTATGAAAATACACATGACAAAGTTAATTGACAGTAACTGAGAAATTTTAGAAGAGGAGAAAGTCCCATATTATTTGCTCAATGCAATACAAAGTGGATATAAGCACTCAAGAATTCAAATACTATTAAGAGAGGGACGAAAGTCAGCAGCAGTAACAACCAACTATGACTTAAGGCAAGGATGTGGATTGACACCCATCCTCTACAACATATGTATTAACTACTTACTGAGAAATTGGAGAAGTAGAGTTAGTCAAGGAATACAGATCACAAAAGACAAGATGATGGATACAATCTTTTATGCTGATGACCAAACTTTTGTGAGTGATTCTGAAGATAATTTACAAAGAGCAGTTTCTGAATTGACAAAAGTGGTCCAAGAATATTCCATAAAGATAGCAATTCGGAAAACAAAATTTATGGCAATGCAAGGCAAGGAACAAATGAGCACCAAAATAATAATAATAAAGGGAAATAAGAGGAAGAGGCAAATACATTTTCATACCTCAGAAATATCATAAGTGTAAACAACCAAACCCAGGAAGACAGAAAATAAACTTAATAACTACAATAGAATATGTGGAACAACTGAGAGACACTTCGGCAGAGACAACAACCCAGAAACAAAACTGAAACTCCACAATATAGCTGCTAAACCTAGAATCATGTATAGCTTTGAAACATGGGTAATGAAAGAAACAGACAAGCAAAAACTACAGACAGCACACATGAGATTTTGAAGACACCTCAGGGGAATCACAAGAAGGGACAGACTGAGAAATAAAGACATCAGAAAGAAATAGAAAACCAAAAGTTTAGAAGAAGAGATAGAACAGTATCAAAGGAGATGGAAAGATCTTTTACAGAGAATGAACAAAAACTGACTGCAAAAATTAATCTGGAAGTACAAACCAAGAGGGATCAGAGATAGGGGGAGACCTCTTAAGAGGTAGTGAGAGCAGGAACACTTGGAAGACCAATAATCTACCAAGAATACTGTAATAAACCAACAGAAACATGCTGTAAAGCCTAATTTCTGAACAGTTCATGACGATGATGACTATTAATATTATTAGGTATGTATGAGCATGTTCCATGCAACACAAGGATCTGTTTGCCTTCAAGAACTTTGTAATAACATATTTTTAGGTTATACTATTTATAAGAGGATTTTATGTGTATTTGTAAAAGATGAGCATCCAGCCACCATCTTAAATCCATTTGACATCTGATTTGTGCAGGAATATGCAAGTCCCTCATACTAAAACTACTCTTTCAAGAAAGGTATCTCTACAACTGTGTGCACCCAATAAAATCAATGAAAAAAGGTTTGATACAATTCCCCCCAAAAAACGTTTAATATTATGAAAGTATATCTAAAAACAAATACTTATATTGTTGTTTGGTAACTTTAAAAATATGAGCAACATAAAATTTTTTATTTGTTATAAAAATTGACTTTTTTCAAAAAAACGCCTTTTGATTAGTGGAGACTAAAAATTTACAATTGAAAGCACCACCGATCCATTCTTTGATATATTTTCATTTATAATTAATGTATTTTGGCGTGTTTTGCGAGGTAAATTGACTCATTATGAGTAAAACAAAATTAAGTATGTCTAAAATCGCTTTTTGTTCATTCAAAATCTATTGCTTGTAAAACAGAAAATTATTATGGTAGAAGGCTGAAACTTTGGCAAATAAATCTTTTCAACATATCAAACAAAGTTAGTGCCGTGTCATTTAAAAAAAATCTGAGAAGATCGGGTGTGCGGTTGTGCTGAGTTCATGTGGAATTACCCATATAGAAAAAACTGGATAGACCATTTACAAAGAAAGAACAATGGAGAGATTGTTCAAACATGTCTATTACTACCTTCCAAAAGGAAAAACAAAAGAAGGAAGACCAAAGAAGAAATGGTCTTCTCTAGACAACTCTGCCAGAACAGCCTAATCCATGCAGCTGACGATGATTTAGGTGATAAGAAATTACATTGGTTGTAATACTCCGATGTTGATTACGTCACTAATATTAATACATACATATAATGGCCACTCCAACACATACATCTTTCAATTTTATGAAATGTACCTGCAGTACGAACTTGACCAACCAGGCGGGCAGCTTCATTTTGTGAAAACATGGATTTGGATTGCTTTTGCTGCCTAGTTTTGGATTTCTTTTGCCCCAAGTTTTGATGTCTAATGGCATTTGGGGCAGTGGTAATACTGTCCTCTTCTGAATCACTTCCTCTGGAATCTACATCATCCACATCAGATTCTTGTCCACTCTCTTCTGAATGTCCTGCTCCTACAAAAAGATAAACATTTTGTAAACCTATAGCACTTTTATTAATAAAAATTAATTATTGTTAAAATTATTTCAAAGAAAATCTGACTGTTCCTGACAATCTGTGAAATTTCTGAAAGCTATCACATATTCATCATTGATGATAAGAATTGCCATTTTCAAAAGAGAATTGGCTACTGAGCTAAAGCAAAGGACCAAACATTACATTCTTCTTCTTTCAGGCATGTGAACAGGAATTGTTTTCTTTAGTCTTCCACTGTATGGATAATGCAAGGGGAATCATTGAATCAATGAACAAAATGGTGATGTTACATCACATACTTTCTTACATTATTTCAAAATGTGCAATTTTCGAAAATTTAGAGAGTTCAATGAAAATGAGCCCTCTACCATTTTTTTAAGCCTATCATCTTCTATCAGTGGAAAATATTTGCAGAAAAAATTTGGAGTTGTTATTCAGAAAAAAAATTACAATTTTCTATATATTTTGCGCAAAATACACATAAGCTACTAATATATTCCAAAAATTGAACACGAACATATTTTAAGATCAATTTTTAGAAGAACAGACATTAAGGAAAACAATCTCAATATTAAAGCAGTAGGCATATGCCCCCCAAAAATTGAACTTTTTCAATTTTTGAAAAATCTGAGATTTTAATGACCATGACACCTGCGCCATTCCTTTAAGTGTCCTTTACTGTGCTTCTTTTAAGCATCCTTAATACAATAATTTGGTGCCTTTTTTGAGAAAATTTTACACTACGTGTTAGAGGAAGTAATTTACTATATACAGAAACATGATTTACCTACTTTTTCATTACTAGGACATGGCAAAAAGTTTTGCTATTGAAAATTTGCCGTTTTCCAGCACACAGTTACATTATTTTTTCTTCTTACGTCAACAAAGCAGAAATATATAAAGCTGTTGAGATGAGCCATGTTAAAACTAAGTTGTGAATACCAATGCTCTAGGTTCTTTTGCTTCTAAAGCTGTCTCTCATTAATAATAGTTGGTATGTCCCAATTGAAAAGGTCAAGCCCTTCACAAAAATGTTAAATTTAATCAATAGATTCCAAATGGAAAGAAAATAGTGAAAAATAATGTTAGAATGATATATCAATCTGGCTACACTCAAGATCCTGTAAATTTGAAATGTATCATTTTTGGAAGTTTCAATATAATAATAATAACAACAACAACAACAATAATAATAATAATAATAATAATAATAATAATAATAATAAAAGTATTAAAAAAACAAAAACACAAACAACCTGCTTCACATCAACATTAAAAGTTTTGTATATACACATATTTTACATAATATGTTTTTCTTTTAGCAGCTAACATTATTGTACAAGTTTATTTATTTAAATTGCATGCTTTCATATAAATAACTCTGCAAAGAAATTGATGAAAAATCAGTAATTTGTCTGACATCTACAATCAATCAGGGACCCTAATGCATTTCCTGGTTTGGTGGTACCTAAAAGCTTACCCTCACTGAAAGGGTGGAATGTTACATGACAGGGTAAGTAACAAATGCAAAATGAAATAACAGAATATTTATATACCTCCAGCATTTTGATTTTTCTTGCCTCTCTTCTTTCGCAATTCTTTTTTATCTTGCACTAGGCCCATGGCAAGCAGTTTTTCTACCACACGAGACTTAGGGCGACGAACTGTTAGGCGATCCAAAATGCAAGACATGGGATCTGAAAAAGTGTCCAACATATTAATAACAATTTTTGAATGATATAAAATGACTGAGAATAGGCAGCAATAGCAGAGATGTCAATATACATCCATAAATCTTTACCTCAAAAGAATGGTGGGAAGTTGGCAAATGAATAGGAAAAGAAGTGGAGTAATGGCAATGTGAATTCTTGAAAGATAATGTTTTTTGGAGTCTTCTAATCTTTAGTTCTTTTTACTCAAGTACATTCAATTAAAAATCATTTATAATAAAATGTTTCAAATAATTTAAATATCATAGATACTGATTTTATCTACATTTTAAAATAATTATATTAATGTTTCAACATTATTATTTTTAAATATTTAATAATTATTACTTTTATAATTAATTATAAAAACACTTAAAAAATTTTAGCCTTTGGTTCTATTCGTGTTTGCAGTAAAGTGTAAACATTTTTAAATATAACTGTTGTTAATACTCACAATTATTTTAAATGAAAAAGATTCCTAAATAAAGTAATAAAAAATATATTACTACTAGTAAACAGTTTTCCTTGCAAAATACCAATAATTGGAGAAATATTTTATCCAATATTTTTTATGGTTCAATTTATAATTTATTACATTTTTTTGAGAAGCATGAATTATTTTAGTTCAACAGTCGATAACTTTAGATAATTCATAATGTGATTAGCAACCTTTTCTGCGAATGCTTATTTGATATATTTCTCAGATGGTCATGATGATTTTTAGTACACTCTTTTTGATGGCCTTTTCATTAAATATTTTATGAAAAATCTTGTTAAAATTACCAATTATAGAAAAAAAAAAAGAAAAAAAAAAAGAAAAAAAAAAAAAAAAAAAAAAAAAAAAAAAAAAAAAAAAAAAAAAAAAAAAAAAAAAAAGAAAAAGATAGCACTACTTAAGCAATTAATTGAACATTATGAACATATAGAAATGCAAACTTCAAGCAATTTAATGGGAGGTATTAAAAAGACAAAAGGTAAGAAAACAGCCCTTCACAGCATTGAATTGAATTGAATGATGCCTTATTTCCTATGGTGAGGATCAGGCCATGAAGCCTGCTTTTCCACCTGACCATGCAAAGTCCACCATGCTCCTTTCACCATCTGGCAGAGAAAGTAGGTATCGCTCGAGCAATGAAACAGGAATTTTGCTAAGACGCTTCATTTAGGCTTGAGGGTCTTTAACATGCAGTAAATCTACAACATGGGTCAGCCAGCTTTACTCCCCTCAACACCCTGCTTTACTTCCCCTCTCATGGAATGCATATGAAGAATTTTTTTCGCATTGAAAAATCCATGGCTTTAATCAGGTTCGAACCTGACATTAGTCTAACGAAGAAGAGAAAAAAAACAACAACAACAACAACACCCAACATCTAGAGCCTAATTATAGAATCAATAGTTCCCCCAACTAAGTATTGATAGTGCATTTACCATATGCATCCTTAAACTGGCTATAGAGGGAAGTTAACTGTTCCTCCTCCTCTGTTGACCACTGCACAGGTGGTTTGGTGGTTACTGATTTTCGGGAAGTTGGCTGTAACAAAAAGAGTAAGATACTAAATTGGGTATGTTAGGAAAACATACAATGTCCAAAATATCACAATATTCTCACCTTTGTGGCCACAACATATCCTAATTCCTTCAGTTTCTTAATGACACCTCTGCGGGAACGACTATCACTAATCAAGTTTCTCAGGATCCAATCAATCATGTCTGTAATCAAAAACGATTTTCCAACCTAGTATTTGAAAACAAATGCTTTTCAAGTAACAACATTACAAAACTTCAATTAACTTACTATGTTTTATCTTTTAACTTTTGAATTCAAAATACCTTCAAAAAACAACATTTGATGATAATTAAGACATCAATGTTTATGACTGATCTTTTTAATTTCTCATATAAGTACATACACTTAGAATAATTATCATACAAAGAGCAGAGAAAGTTATGTAATGTTGAAGAAAATTGATTTGAAGATTTTAATGGAAATACATGAACATTTTGGATTCCCATTACACTAAAAACATGTTTTTTCCCCCTTCCGCCCCAAAAAGACCACTTGGTCTGCCCGTCTGCAAAAAACTCTAGTGACAAACCATTTGAAAGATTTTTTCAAAATCAGCATTCCCTAATTATTAAGCTCTGACAAGAAGCCCAGCAAATTTGAAATTCATTTTTTCTTTTAGTTTTGAGGATACTTAACATGAAGCCCTCGGGACATTTATTAATTATATTTACTAATTATGTAGATAAATAATTACCTCCTTCAGCAGGCTTTTCAGAAAGAGCCATGTACTCTTCATACAGGCGCCTAAGTTCATCTTCTTCCTCCTCTCCCCAGACTTGTTTGCCAGAATGAGTACTGGGCAATGCAAAAAATTTATTAAAAGAACAGCATTAAATATTAATATTTAACATTGAATGTCTTCTAATTGATTGGGTTTATTTGAATTATAAGCAAAAAGGACATTGATGTTCTACATATAAATGTTTTGTTCAATATATAAAGGTTATTATTTGTGGCCAAATGGGTTCATGGTTCTGCTGCTAAAGTTGCTACTGTTTTTGGTAACAGTGATGATGAATTTTCAAGTTGCAAAACAGGTCTTTCATGAACACACACAAAAAATTTCCAGTTAACAGAGAGGGGAAAAAGTTGTGTTTTACAGTTTTATTTACCTTTTCCACAAATTTAAATTGACACAGAAGCTTTCTACACTTACTCTGACTGGTAACTTCCATAACCACATTCTACTTCAAAAGCATCTTTGCTGTTTTTCCAAAACAGTAATTCCATATAAACTTTTGGGTTTTCTTTTGCCACTTCAACAAATTTTCTGACAACAAATATGGCAAACTTTTTTAGTTCCTGAAAATAATAAACATTGTCAATAGAAATTATAGAGTAAAACTCAAAATAAATTCTTAATTCTAACAATGATGAAATACTACTTGGAACTATGTAAACAATTCATACTTTGTAAACATAGATTTCTGCATCCAAAGGCAGCATCGCAAAGGCATCCATTCCATCGCAAAAATTTGACAGTTCAAAGAACCAAATGCATCTCTACAAATACGTAGTCTTTAATTTTTCAAAATTCGAAGTTTAAATAAAAGAGAGAGTAAGTGTTTTAAAGATTTAACATTGATGAATATATTACTTAAAAAAAAAAAAAGTCATAGAGCAAAAAAATGAAGATACCAATGGCGAGGAATGGTATTTTTGAGTGATCATAATTAATTTGCTTAGTATTCGAGTTTGTCTTTCTGAAGCAACAGATGGAGGGGGTCTTACAGGGTGTCGCAATATCTTTGGGTATTCTGTTTTCTTATATGCTCGAACCACGCTAATTTTTTTGATTTTTTATCATTAAATCTCCTAATCTCCTTTCTGGTCATATTGACATTGAAGTAACAAGAAATCTTTAGTTTGATGGCAAAACAACAGAACTGAGGTTGACTCAGTCCAATAAATTAGAAATAAAATAATTTTAAAATTCTTTTGGTATTTGATTAACATGCAACTTCCATGCAAAACAAGAAAGCATGCAACTTCCATGCAAAACTAGGGTCTGCTGTTGCCTCCATTTCAGCATTCCATTCCACACACTGACACTGCTTATATGGTAGGTAAAGAAAACTAGTGGTGCTACAAACAATACATTTCTTTTTTCTGCCTTTCCCCTCGGATTATTTTTAACTTTAGCAATTGTTGAAAATTCAGAGGAGTTCAAGAAAAATTAAACCTCTGACATTTGTTAAGGGTCCTTTGCTTTACCCATGGGAGGAGAAGAAAAAAAAAAAGTTTTTTTTTTCAGAAAAAATATATTTATTATAAAATGCATTAACTTTAAGCAGAAATTCCATGAACACTATTAAGTTTTTCAAAATAATGTACACGACCTACTTTAAAGATCCAATTGTTTAGAACAGCTTCCTTTGAGAAATGTCTTTGTCATTAATACTGTATTTTTTGAATATTAACTTTTTGCAATTTTCGAAAATAAAGAAATCTTACCGAGAATGGGATCAGAGACATTTTTTTAAACATCCTTTGTTACATAACAGGAAAATATTAAAAGAACAAAATTGAAGCCGTTTATGTTTAAAAAATTGCCTATATTGCACGCAAAATTACGCGAAAACTACTGACATTTTCGAAAAATTGTAATTACCTTATTTCAAAAATATCTTCGAATAATCAATTTCATTAAGAATAAACGCTATCCGAGGATAAGGTTTAATCCAAAAGTTTGGAGCAATTTTTGAGAGAGTTTTGAAAAGAGAGTTTGGGCTATGTGAAAAGTACCCCCAAAAATGAAAATATCCGTTTGAAACTCGCAGGAGTTCGTTGAGATCGATCGTATAATATCAATTTTGGAGAAATTGTCTGAACGGTTCAGGCGCTAGCGCTGACTACGTTAAAATTGTTGTTGTCAATCAATTTTTCAGTACCAAGGACCCACAAAACGTGAATTCGGGCCAGACAACGCAAACGCAATAGAGGAAGTAAATTTGCTACATATATGAAGAAGATTTATCCACTTTTTTGTTACCAGAGCCCGACAGTAAGAGCTTCTCTGTCCCAAAGTTGCAATTTCCGATGCACGACTACAATACTTCGTCTTCACTACAGCGAAAGGATACTATTCTTATAAAGAGTTACAATCAACTTCTGTAAAATCTTCACAAACATTGCAGTTAGAATATACTACCTTATGCTGTGGATTTACACTGTCTAATATTCTTTGGAAAGTTCTAAATATGGACGCTTGGAAAATCATCGCTGGTAACTTGCAATCCCAAGCTATACGGTGCATAAGTTTCAAAGCACAGTGATTAGTCCTCACAGAGTTGTGTTCAAATTCACGAAGCAGTAAACCGCATGCTTGCACCACACGTGGATTGCAGAACCTGCATCAAAATTACACATAAATTACATTGAGACTCTTGAGAAACTCTTGAATAACCCTTGAGAAACAGACAAACAACAACAAAAAATCACAAAGAAACAAATTGAAGAACTTGCCTTTTAACGAAGTCAATAAACTGAAAAGTCCTCTCAGAAACATTTGTGCTCATTTCTCTATCATGCTCTCTTTCATCCTCTTCTTCCTCTCCCTCTTCTTCCTCTGTCACAATAAGTCATCATTTTACAGCAGGCATTTTCAAAGTGGTCGAGATCAACCTTCCAATCGACTTTTTAAAGGTTGATAAATTCAATAAAAGAAGTAGAGGGTTGAGGGCCGCTAAAAATTGGCTCCCCTCCCCCACTGACTAATTAAAACACTGTGAAACCTGACTTAAGCGGCCATTACTGCTTCCGGAGAAATTGGTCGTTAGTTCACATGGGCGCTTAATGCAGGTTGTGAGAGTATGGGAAGCTAAACATTTGGTCTAATTTTGCTATTTGTAATGAAGTTAAGCGTGTTTCGTTAGCTAACAATCTTTTAATGACCTTTAAACTACGAAACACAGGAAGCGTTTCTTCCTGTACGCAACAAAGCATATTCTTATATAAAACTATTCAATTTCACGTATTTTGCACTTTCCTTTTTCACATTCCTGTTAACCACTTCCCTTTCCCACTTGATACTGAACTTAAATGTCTAATTTGCACCCCAAAGGAAGCAAGCGTGCATGAATATAATCTGAAAAAGGAATTAATCCCCCGCGAGATAAGTAACTCCAGATATTACTGTTCTTTTCTATGTCGATGGGCCTCTAGGCAGGAAGGTGCTGAGTGAACATCAACCACTCTTTCGCTTCATTTAGGGCTCCTTCCCACGTGCAGCGGGTGGCGGCTACTGCGGCTGCCGACGCCGAACTCCAGCTACGCGAAGCGGAGGAGGGGCCACGCGCCACCGCTAGCAGAACACAGCTTTAAATGGGAGAGTTCCCACTGCGCCGCGGCCGCAGCGTTCTACCTGCTCCGGTCCATTTTTTGTTCGTCGTCGCCGGAGGGTCGGTGAAACCTAACCCTCCAGACCCAACCCCCTTCCACGGCGGGCAGCGGTGCGGCCGTGGCTCCGGCGGTGGCTGCGTCGGAAGAGCTCTGCTGCTTGAAGGAAGCGCGCCGCGGTCGCGCCGTGGGAAGGCGCCCTTAGTGTCGTAGCTCAAAATAGCAAAATCGTGAGAAAGGAGTGACCATTTATAAGTGAGGTAAGAAACCTGTGAGGCCAATGAGAGCAGGTGAGGTGACCGCTTAATGAAGGAATGTTTACACGTTATCAATCACTTCCCGAATAATGACCATTAATATAGACTACTTAATAAAGGTGACATTTTAGTAGGATTCACTGTTTGTTGATTAGTTAAAAAAATATAGATTTCATTAGGTGGTATTCAATTAATTACTTCTACTTCATTAAAACTACTTAGTCACTTAAATCTACATAGCCACTTAAAATGGCACTAAATGTTTAAAATAAAGTTCCAAGAATAATTTTGAAATAATATATTGCCAAAAAAAAAAAGTTGGAATATAATTCGATAAGCGAGTTTTCCTTACATATGTAAAAATACGTACTATAACAGGATATATGGACAAATATGGATTATCACATATGTTTAATATTGCTTCAAAAATCTTAAGCCATAAACACACGACAAAAGTTTGATGGAAATCATTAACAAACAGATGCGTTATTACATACAGATCGTATCCCTAAACATTATTTACACTTCATTTTTATTTTAAATTAAGAGATTTGAATTTGTTGACTAATTTTAATTTCAATTTTATATCATGTATGTTCAAACTGGTCATGTTTTTGTGCTTTAATTTTCGCTAGTGCAGATTTCGATCTTACATTTTGAAAATGATAATGTCACTTCTCTTTTTAAATGATTTATTAACTAGTACAAAACTAATATTTGATATCTAGGGAAATATTAGCTATGGGGCAGAAAACAACTTCGTTAACTTGAGCAGGCAAAGTTCCTGTGAAAGGTCAACTGTTTTAATCATTTTTGCAAAAGAGAGCTGCGAGCTTTAAAGTTTGGGAAAAAACCTGCTTGAGACAACTAAATAAATAATCAATGTATGGAAGGTGAAACACAACAACAACAAAGAACAACCGACTGACCTTCATTTTCTTCTTCGTTTGCATTAGGATTCTCTGGCATTTGCATTGGTTCTGAAAAAAATCCAAATTATGAATATTATAATTCTGGAAACCCAGGGAAACGCAATATAAAATTAGTTCAATTTCACAAAACGACAAAGGAGATTATTTCAATTTGAGATTGTAAGCAGTCTTGTCTCTTGGGGACAAGGGAAACATTTCATTTGATGTTTATCTCGACTGTTGACTTTGTTGTGCTTTCAACACTCTCCACGGACCCAACAGAAAAGCATATTATCTAGGGGTCATAAGAATAGAAAGAGAAGATACAAGAGCACTTGTGGAATCAGTGCAATTCACAACTCTCCGCAATTACGCTGATTGAACGTAAAGTGTCTTGAATGGCGCTTACTTCTCCAACAGGACTATAAGTTAGATGAAGAGTCAATTCGGAAGTAGCCGGTGGCACTAGAGCAATGGCAATACAAAGAGCATCTAGTACATAGTCATTTTTGTGAGGAACCACAAGTGAACACGAAGGTGTGGTAAGGGCACGTGATCGCATTTCGTGAAAGTGGATTAGAAATGTACTAGGGGAGCTGATGATTTAGAGGTTGCTTACATTTAGATTTATTTAGTCAAAAAGTAAAAACCGTGTGACGTGACGGGGTCTTATGTGACGTAGGGGGGGGGGAGGGCAAAGATTATCTGCGCACGTTTTCTTGAGTTCCAGAATCCCTTCCCATCATTTTAACTATAAATAGTTGAAAATGAGTAAAAGTTTAAAATCAATAAATAAAAATAAATTTAAAAAATGCGAGATCAGCAATATTAAAAAAAAGGACATTTTGTTTCCGGATTATAGAAAACTTATTTGCATCGGTAAACGAATTGCAAGTATGATTTTTCCGCATTGCTAACAAAATAGTAACGCGCACTTACACCTACTCTTACCATTACAAGCAAATGGAGAGTTCAGCGAAATGTGCGCCTAGTGAAGCTACATTTACGTCCAGAAGCAAAACAAGGGGCCATCTCAGCATTTGCTCAATGGATCAGGGAAACTCAACAAAAACTTGATCGAAATGGGGGTCACTGACCAGGAAGCTGAAGTACATTATTTGTTACAAACATATTAAGTCTTAAAAAAAAAAAAACAATAACTATACAATACAAATGTAAACTAATTCAATATATACCACAGTTTTGTTAAAATAAACATTATCTTTTTTATAATTCGTATAGTCTCTAATTGTGTAGAAACAGTTATGCAGCAGAAAATATTTTATTTTTAACTTAAATCTGTGAACCGACTTCAATTGTTTAATGTCATCTGGCAATGCATTGTAAAGTAACGTATATGCATTGTATGTGGATTTCTGATTGATGCTTAACCTGAGGTCTTCGAAGTTCGAGACGTTTTCTAGGAGGATCAAGAATTTCGTTCGGGTTTTACAAAAACGGACAGTTTAAGTTAAACGTTTGCAACACACATTTTGCATACCTGAAAGAAATACGAAGCGGATGGGGCAAGGAGAGTCTGGGCATAACGATGTTCGATGATTTGGATGACGGATTGTTTGGCGGGAGGAATTACCCAGGATTGACAGTTTCGCAACATTCAGAGAAGCGTTCGGCATGCAGAGAAGACCGGCAAAGAAGAAAAAAAAGGACGATAAAAGAGATGCAAGAAGAATAAGAAGAAGACGAAGAAAGATGGAGGAAGCAACGCATGAGAGTCGGCCCTGCATCCCCAGTCACGACCGCTCCACTTCTCTGGTCCAGACGAGCAAACACGCAGAGTAAACCTGGCAAGTACCCCTAGCGTGTATGGCCTCGTATATAGTACGTTCAGGTGACTTGGAAGTTTTACCAGTGTCTTTTTACCTGTTCGGGAAAACACGCACGTTTGTGGTCACAGTCCCTTAGGTAGGAAAAGAAGAAAAGAAAACAACAACCAACAACAACTATCGAAATCTATCCGCATCTGATTTCTTCAGGATACTGCCAGCTGCTCTATTATTTAACTTCTCGATGGACATCCTTCGTATGTGTTTCTAAGAGTCGAAATTGTTCAGCCTTTCGCTATTTTAACATACGACACACATCAAAAACAAATTTAAATACTGAAAACTTACTAATTCTGAGTTAAAATTACTTAACACTTCTATTTCACCATATTTATTAAATTACTGACAAAACTAATTTTCAAGTTTACTATGCATTTTGGAAAGTTGCTCAAATCGGCTTTAAGACATTCAGTTGGTCGTCCATCCATCGAGTCTCCGTCTTCTCACACCTCCCGGAATCCAAAATGGCAACACCAAAACAAAACACTCACTGTCCCAAAGAAAAATCAAGAAAACTTGGTCGCCTTTTGTTAACGTTCTGAAGCGTCACCACCGCACTAGAATATTCTACATAGAATGACTGAAGCACCTCCATCTTTGAAACAAGTTGAAGTCATGTTTTTTGCAGTCAAAGCAGCGCCCCCTGAGTATTCTAGCACTACGTGTGGTGGTGGTTACGGACGGTTACATCCTGTTTATACCGCCCCTCGTAGATTTTGACTTAAAAAACATGGCGGCCACTAGTTCGGCGATCCTCCACCAAGAGCGCTGAAACTATAGGGACAGTCACTCTATGTAGAATATTCTGGCTCGTTTGGTTACTACAGGGTTCTGAAGAAATGCGCGCGTCCACTTGCACGGAGTGGTTTTGTTACACCTGTGAAGGCGCAAGTTGTCCTATAAAGCACGAGACAAAGCAAACCTGGACCGGTTAAAACCTGTCAGTAAGAACGGTTAAAACACGCGTCACGCAAACCCATAATGTTTTTTTAGAGACAACCGGTACTCATCAGACGTACGCATGCTAGACGTTAAGCACGCCTCATTTGGACACATATCTTTGTAGATAAAATTAGCAAACATGTGCTGATTCCAGATGTGGAAAGTATTACCAAACAATTCTTTTGTTTTAGTATAACATAAATAAACAATAATTTTAAACGAAATCCCTGTAAAGTTGAATCACAATGTTAAAACTGATGTTAATACAATTAATAAATTAAGTTGATTACTCTAACATTTTGTTAATTATTAGTATTCTTAGTGTTTGTTAGGATTGAGAGAAAATGAATACGAAGTAATTGTTTAATTCATTTTAATTAATGATGTGTAAAGAATTATATTGAACGAAAAGCGCATTGTAAGCGACTTATAGTTACGCAGGTTGCACCAAAAGCCTTGTGTCTACACCGCGGCTTGCCTCGTAATATACAATACTTCTTTTAGAAATTGGCAAATAAATTCTTCTAAATACTTACAAACAAAACAAAACGCGAATGGATAAAACCAGCACGCATGCCGAACGAGAGGACCTCCGAGCGGTGCCACTTCGGAGCACCGTCTGTGTCTCGCGGCGCTCCTCCCCGAGGTCAAGGGAGCGAGTGGCCTGGCCGCGTCAAAGGCCGCTCCGGTCCACGTTGGAGGCGACGCCGCCGTCGTCCAACTACACGGCCCGTTTGCCGCGGGAGGTCCCTCGAGGCCGCACCGGCGCGAGCGCAGGCAAGGGAAAGGGCGCCGGAGAGCGAGAGAGAGAGAGAGAGCTAGGGCTGGGGCGGAGGCCAGGGCAAGGGCGCGAGCTACGGCGGGAGCGGGGGTTAGAAGGGCATGTGAGAGGGCGAGAGCGAGGCCGAGAGCTAGGTCAGTGGGGAGGGAAGTGGGGGCGAGGGCAAGGGCGTCGGTTAGTGCAGTATAGTGTAGTTCAGAGCAGTGCAGTGTAGTGCAGTGCAGTATACTGCAGGGCAGTGTGTACTGCAGGACAGTGTGTACTGCAGGGCAGTGTGTACTGCAGGACAGTGTGTACTGCAGGGCAGTGTACTGCAGGGCAGGGCTGTGCGGTGATGAACGGGCGGAGTTGGAGTGCCATGGAGCAGCGCGTGTCGAGAAAGGTCAGGCAGAAGTCAAAGGCGACGGCAGTAGAATGAAGGAAACGGCGCCCGCGCGGCGGCTTGTGGAGCGGTCCTTGGGGGCGGCTGGCGGCGGCTTTGCCCTTGCCCTCGCCTTCAGGCCTATTCGCTCCGTCTTGGAATCACCCCGCCAGGCCACCCTTCATTTTCCCTACCGCTTTCTTGCTCAGCGTTCCTAGTTACGTGAGCTCTTCGCCGAAGTTGCGTTTTTTTAAATTCCTCTCTTGAGTTTGAACTCTCTGTTACACGAAATTTTAAAATGTCACAATATTACAACACAGGTATACAACTTTTTTCTACAATGCATAGTCTTCAAAAAAACTCAATTTCGTTCTAGAAACACTTATACTGATTATATTGTGTGTGCGACATATCATGTATCATGTTGATCAATGTAACATACAACACCTAACTTCAAAAATCTTAACAACTACGTTAGCATATTTCAAACAATTTTCAATTCACGAGAACTAAAATTAATCGAAGTTACTCGCTATATTTTTGAAGCAGACATAGTATTCTTAGTTGCTCCCATTATCATTTTTTATTAGTGTCAATTTTTTTAAGCATGTGGAAACACCAAAAACAAAGAAACAAAAACACCACTACCACAAACCACAACGAACAATTCGTAAAGAATAAGCTCAAGTCGTCAACACCAAACGTGAGATATTCTGTTTATCGATATCCCGATTAACGAAGTCCACGCATGCGAATCACGATTCTTTCTACACATGTGTTACGTTTATTGACATATTGAAAAAAACCAATCGTGCTTAACTGGGAGATAGCACAGATCTTACGCACTCCTCGTAAGCACATTCCTAAACAAGGACCAGGAGAGGTGGCTCAGCGCATCAACTGATGTCACTGCAGTGCCTCTGACCGGGAGGTTCTAGGTTCAAGATTTTCGACATTAGCGTGTCAGGTAGGTCGAATTCAGTCGCTCTTTTGACGAGAATTCTGGCGACCGGCTGCTCTGAACGGTAGTTTTCCGTGGTTTCTCCGATCAACACTAGGCGAATGCCGGAGCAGTACCTTAACAAACGGGCCACGGACCGCGCGCGATCTCCCCTTCCTCTTCCTTGTCCTATCCTCG